CCCCCCCCCCCCCCCCGCGCAGGGAGCACCCGGGCTCGGCCAGCGCCCCCCGGAGGGCTCCCCCCGCGCAGGGAGCACCGGGCTCGGCCAGCGCCCCCGGAGGGCTCCCCCCGCGCAGGGAGCACCGGGCTCGGCCAGCGCCCCCCGGAGGGCTCCCCCCGCGCAGGGAGCACCCGGGCTCGGCCAGCGCCCCCCGGAGGGCTCCCCCCGCGCAGGGAGCACCCGCACCTGGTGTGGTGACCGCCCGTTCCTCCCAGGGAGGTCTTAACACCGCGACTGACGCCCGGCGTGAGGATTTCCAGGGAACGTGTGGAAGGAAGCAGCGGGAATCCGTCATTCCCCAGGGGCCGGGGGAAGCGGAGTGATCCTGACCTGGGATCGCCGTGGATCCGGAACCCGCTGTCTCGCTCCCTCGGGGACCCGTCTTCTCCGTGGCTGCCCCGGGCCACCCCGGGAGCCCGGACAAGCCTGCGTGGGCTCGGACTCCAGCCCCTTCCCACGCGGACGGGAAGCTAAGCCCATCTCCCCTCCAGGGTGAACGGACAGGCCCCCGCCCAGCGCAGGGGAGGGCACCTGGCCGGGAAAGGGGTCGGGGAGAGACTCGCCCAGGTCGTCCCCAGAGGGGCTGCACGGCCGGGCGTTGGAGCCAGGCAGACCCAGGCGCCCCGGGGCCTCCCTGCTAACAGGGAGAACGCCTGGCAGCGCCATTAGGATGAGAAGGGCCTCCTGGAGGTCGAGGCGCCGGTGGAGGGGCCACACGTGGCAGCCACTCTTTTCAGCTAATTTTCTAAGAACACCTCGACCAAAAGGGGTCCTGTGGGTTTCTGGGGAGCCCCTGGGGCCGGGGTGCAGCTGTTTGCTCCCATGAAGCATCCCTGGTTCAACGTATCACTGAATCAGTTATAAATGATTTTACTGAAAAGCTTGATTTCATTCGTGTTTCAGACTGTCGCCTCCGGCTGTTGGTATGAAATGCGATAAGGCGGAGGTATTGTTGCTTGTTACTTGGTTTTGCTTTTCTTTTTTCTTTTTTTTAATATATTTTATTGTTGTTGTTGTTTTTACAGAGAGGAAGGGAGAGGGATAGAACATCCATGAGAGAGAAACACCGATCAACCGCCTCCTGCACACCTCCTCCCCGGGATGTGCCCGCAACCAAGGTGCATGCCCTTGCCCGGAATCGAACCTGGGTCCCTTCAGTCTGCAGACCGGTGCTCTACCCACTGAGCCAAACCGGTCAGGGCTTTTGCTTTGCTTTTTTAGGTGGCATCGCTGTGCAGAAGGCGGGAACGTGCCTAAGGAAGCCGGGGCTGGCCAGCGTTGGAAGGACAGAGCCAGGCTCGCTGCCACTGCCCAGGCCTGTCTCAGCCGGCGGACCCCCCCTCCCGGACCACCGGTGGGCGACGCTGTCCAAGCCGCGGGGCACACGCCTGCCCACCGGCCTCCGCCCTGCCCGTCACGGCAGCTTCCGGCCAGAGCACCCTCTGCTGCTGCGGACGGCAGGTTCCTGCCTCTGACCCTCCTCCTCACAGACGTGGAGGAAGCTGTGGTCCAAAAGGAAACACCTCCCTCCCGGCCTGTTCCCATCAACCCCCGAGCTCCTCACCAGCCTCAGCGAGGACCGCCTTCTGCTCCCTGATTCCCCCGGAGACAGCAGTGCCCATGCCGTGCCAGCAGCGATCCGTGGAGCAGAGGGGGCCCTTCCCCACTTCCTGCTCCTCACGCCCACCCCTGTGCCCCTCGGCACGGCCACCACGGGGGCCGCCTGCTCCCTGCTCGCTTTCTGCACCACAGGGACCCGCCTCAGAGGAGACCCTCGCGGAGGCCCTGTGCAGGCTCGGCCCCAGGCTCCCCTCTCCGCTCCCCGGGGTGAGATTGGGGGGCGCACCGCGGGGCCCCACACCTCGCTGTGTTCAGTCTGAGTGACCCGGTGGCCAGCCTGCCCTGCAGGGAGCTCCTCCCGAGCCCTGAGCTGGTGACACGGCTCCTCTGACCCACAGAGGGCCCCACGGCGGCTTCCCTGTCCGGAGCGTGCGGGCAGGAGGCCCAAGGCCCAGAAGTTCCTTCCGGGACCCTTTTACGACGGGGACTCTCCAGGCCACTGAGGGCCAGGAGGCAGCGTGGCCTCTGAGGCTGCCAATGCGTGTGTGTGTGTGTGTGTGTGTGTGTGTGTGTGTGTGTCCCCCGCCAACAGTCTCCTGCTGAGTAACGGTCCTCCCTGGTCCTTCCGCACGCCGGGCGGGAGCGCTGGGGAGCCGGGCAGACACGCCCACGCCCCTTCCAGAAACCCCAGGGTGCATTCTGGGAAATTCATTAGTGTCTTTTGAGAAACTGCTATTTATTTCTTTAACCGAACCTCGTTTTTCCCAGAGGTAATTTCATCCTGCACGAAGGGGCGGCCCGCCCAAACACAAAGGTTCCACTTTCATTTTACACCCATCGTTTCTCGCTCCTCCCCCCTCCTTCCCCAGGCAAAGCTTTCCTCCCGAGGACCCAGGTGCCCAAATTATAATTATATCCCAAGCACGGCTTTAGGAATTGTTTATTTCAAACACAATTTCCACTTTCAATGCAAAAATAGCTGATAAAACAACAGCAACAACAAAAAACACACATTGAAACACACATTATACTGACCCTTTGCCCCATATACAGACATCAGCCTTTGGCATTTGCTCTTAGGTAATTAGGTAAAAAAATAGAAACTTAACAAACTATTATTTTCATCTCCAAAAGGAAAGTCGAGGTATTTCGCAGTTGTGTGATCGCCATCCAAAAGCCGTTTCCCTACTCATTCACAGCCTTTGCTACATGCTGTCCCAATCCGTCCCTTCTAAAGCAGAGCTTGGTTCGAGCATATGTCCATACCACTGGCAACGTTCCTTAATAATCATTAAGGTTGCAAAATAATATTGAATGCCAGCCGTGATTGGAAAAAAAAAATTAAAATGAAAATTAGCAAATTAAAAAAAATATATCATGAAGGTTGCCATAGAAACACACCTGCGCTAGCACCAGACTAGAGCGCCTATACTGCAGCAAGGACCTCTAGGGGGCGCTAGGGGGCGTCTGGCGCAGGACGGGAGCCAGGTGGGAAGCTGGGTTCCATGCTCCCGGTCGGTCGGTAAATTCCTCACCAACTCCACCGGGAGCTGGATGCCAGCTTCCTCCCCAGCGGAGTCTACCTCCGAGGGGGCAATGCAGCTCAGCGCCCAGCCGCAGAGCAAGACACTCCTGGACGTCCTGCAGGAGCCCGGCCCCCATGGCCTCTCCCGCCTGCTCCATGGGCCCTGCTCGCCACCAGGCGGACTCCCGCCCGTGCCAGCAGCAGACTCACAGCTTAGGATGGCCTTTCCTGCCTCCACCCTCTCCCCAGGGGCGCGGGAATCCACACAGAGGGAGCCCAGGGCTCAGAGCTCTCTGAGTTACATTCAATGGCCTCACAGGCACGGCCCACACCGCCCCATGGACCTCTGCACAGTTTCTTAATGCTACAAGAGTGAGGGACCGCGTCAGTGTAGACCTGGAGCCAGCTTATTTGTAACTTCCAACGCAGAAGGGCACATTGTCACGTTTTTAACATCCACGGTCAGCGTGCCGACCTCTCACCGCCGGCGGAGCAACTCTGTGTGAGCTGCAGACACACAGGTGAGGACACAGGGTCACCGGCCACAGGTCCGAGGACAGAGGCGGCGTCCGGGGTCCACCTGTGTCCGCCGAGCCACGCCCACAACCCGGAGAAGACACGCGCTTTCCTTCATGAGCACTAGCTTATAAACGTGAAGGGGGAGAAACCAAAACCTCTTCAATTAAAAAAAACACACAGCAGTTCCGTTACAATAATAATGAAAGCAATAACAATTCGGAGATCAAAGCTGCCTCGCTCTCGCCCCCTGAGCTATCTGATCTCTCATCTCCCCCGGCCCGGCGCCTCCCGCTCCGGGGACCGAGGCTGCGGTTAAAACCTTTACCGAGCCTTCGAGAACCGGGGGCAGAATCACCTTTCTCAGGCAGTCTCGTTTTGTGTGTGTGCGGTTTTATCAAATATTTCCCTTGAACAGCACTTTTGCTGTTCTCAGGGAATCTATAGACACACACACACACACACACCTGCCTGCCTGCCTTCCGTGTCACTTAAGAGCCGCCGAAGGCCGCCATGGGGTCTGACCCGCGAGTCAAAACCGCTGCCCAGCGCAGTCACACGCGAGCCCACAATCAGCACATGAAGGCGGTCAGGTTCGCCCTCTGCCGCCCGCCCGGAGCTGGTGGTGGTTTTTCAGAAAAGGCTCCCAGACAAGGCTGTGGTCTGGCCAAGGTGTGGCCCTCGGTTACCCCCCGGATTCCAATCTCAGCCTCCTTCCGGGGTGCCCCGGGCCGCGGAGGGTACTGTCTGGGGAACCCCTCTCAGCGGAGTTCTCGAGGCCCGAAGCCCGGGCGGGAGAGGGAGCTGAGGTGGGCTGGCGTTCAGGGTCCCGGCGAGACCGTCAGCTGAACCGAGTCAAGTTCGAGGAACTGAGAGGAGGGGGTGGGGGAGGCAAGGAATCCCCTGCCCCCGGGGACCAGGGCTCCTGGCTTCGGGTGGGGCGGGGGGTTTGGACTGACCTTGCTGGGCAGCCGGGGGAGGCCACTTCCCAACAGCAGCCCGGAAGCCGGATGAGGGGGAGGGAGGAGCCGCAGCTGCGCGTCCCTTAAACCAGAGAGGCAGCGGGCACGCTCCTTCACGTTTAAGACAAAAACAGAATTTAGAATGAAACCAGAGTCTCTCCCCTAAGAGGGGAAACTCGTTTCTGTTTCCTCCTCCTCCTCCTCTTTCTCATCTGACTCAGTTCGGCGGCAGACAGAGCGCCGGGCTCGCCCCGAGCTGTTTACCTACAGACGCCCCCCCCCCCCCCCCCCCGGCCCCCCGCCGCCCGGCCCCCCGCCGCCCGGCCCCCCGCCGCCGGGCCCCCCGCCGCCCGGCCCCCCGCGCCCGCCCGGGGAGAAGCGGCCGGCGCTTCTGTCAGGACCACGTCAGCTTACATCCTTCTGTCTTTTCACATAAACACGTTCTCTCCTCGGGACTCAGGCTCAGGTGAAAACACAATAAACAGTCCAACGGTTTGGTCTCCCAATGGCGGGAGCCCTCCCCGAATGCTGTTCTCCTTTCGGGGGGCACGGAGGAAGGAGAGCAGTGGTTTTCAGAGGCTGTAACTGTACGTGGGGACCCTGTCGCCACGCCCCTACCCCGTCTGCTTCTCTCCCGCTCGGGTCCCGGGGTCCAGAGAGAGAAACGGAGCCCGCGGTGGCTTCGGGCTCAGCAGGTGCTCGGGGTTAGCGTTCACAGTGAGCAGCGTGCTAACGAGGAGCCCCTGGCCGTGCCACTCAGACCCCCGGGCCCTGAGATGCTGTCCACGCCGGCAGCCATATCCAGAGTGTGGAGGGGAGGCGAGGCGGTCCAGAGCTCCCCGGCCGGGGCCGCTGAATCACAAAGGCACTTGGGCTTCAGGAGCTGGAGCCAGAAGGTGCAGCTGTGCCGTGGGCCCGGAGAGAGGCGACTGGTGGGGGGTGTCTGGCTGGAAACCCATCCCTCCTCCTGAGGGGGCGGCGTGTGGAGCCAGGTCCAGGGAGCAGGAGCCGGCAGCTTGTCCGCACGGAGCCCAGGGTCCGAGGGTCCGGTGGACTCGACAGCGCCCCCTGCCAGGGGCCCACGTCCACGGGAACCCCTGCAGGCGGGCGGGGCTGTGGGGGAGAGGGGTTCACAAATCCAGCCACCTCTTCCTTCTGGCCAGGCGCAGGCCTGTGTTCGCCCCACGCACTGAGCGGGGCTGTGCTTTGTCACCCACGCGTCTCAGCGGCCCGGCCCCCGCCGGCCGGGCGCCCGCCGCTACTGGGGGAAGAAGTAATCTCTGTTGCTGATGTCGTACGGGCTCTGTGGGCTGCTGGCCCGGGGCTGGCTGTGCCGCGAGGTGCTATCCGAGCCCAGGCTGCTGGGGGACACCGGCGGGGAGATGAGGGGGACCAGCACCGGGGTGGGCTTCGGCCTCTCGGGGACCAGCTGCCCCAAGGAGAACGGCGGGTGCATGCTGGCCTTGCTTTCTTTCAGGGTCTGCAGCTTCCACGTCTTCCTGAACCTGCAGACACACAGAGACACACACACCGCACAGAGGTCAGCGCCCCCGCGACGCACAGAGGGAGAAACACCGGCAGCTGGGCGCCCGCGGGCCTGGCAGCCCCGTGCCAGCTCAGAAGAGGGATAGCTATTCATCCCGCCCCCTGTTCTTATCACCAGGCGTGAACACAACCCCCTGAGGAGCTGGGGGTTCCAAAGACACCCCGAGAGAACAGATCTGTATGGTCTAACCGCTGACAGATGGGAGACACACGTGGCCGTGAACGCCCCTCTGCAGCACGGGGAACCTCAGCCCCACAGCCATGGACTTAAAAGAGACAGAGAGAGCCCTGACCAGTTTGGTTCAGTGGATAGAGCATCTAAAAGGTCACAGGTTCGATTCCCGTCAAGGGCATGCACCTTGGTTATGGGCACATCCCCAGTAGGAGGTGTGCAAGAGGCAGCTGATCAGTGTTTCTCTCTCATCGATGTTTCTAACTGTCGATCCTTCTCCCTTCCTCTCTGTAAAAAAAAATCAGTAAAATACATATATTTAAAAGAGAGAGAGAGAGAGAGAGAGAGGGCCTTCTTCCGGTGGGGAAGGAGAACGGGCTGCTCTGTGGAAGGCAGGCGGGCAGGAGGCAGGTCATTGGCAGCTGCCGTTTCACAGCGGAAAAGGGCCACCTGCTCCCTGAACGGCCCTCCCGTTCCCCCTGCGGCCCACACCCCGTCCCCCGTCCCCCACCCTCCGCAGACCGAGGGCCCACTCCCACCACCCGGTGAGTTCTCAGCCGCGGGCGGCGTGGGCACCACGCGGGCACAGTGACTCATCTGACAGGAAAGTGGATGTTAACAGGAAGGAGATAGGCATCTCTCTGATCGCAGCTTTGCCCGCCCTGCGCTGGGCCCCGCGCCACGGCTCAGCCCTGAGCAGTCAGTCACCTGACAGCCGGAGAAAGGCAGCCGGGGTGGCGATAGCCATCTTCAAAGGCACAGCCAGGTCTCCTTCCTGAGGGGGCCGGTGGCTGTGAGACTGCAGGGCGCCCCTCCCCTCCCTCCTGCCCCCCACGGCGACCCTCACCCACTCACTGCGCCGACCAGCCCCGCTGCGGGGGCACGGGGTCTCCCTCAGGCCCACGGGGTCTGCTCCCCCGGGGAGGGCTGGGAGGCAGGAGGGGAAACAAAGCCAAAGGCAAGGCTTGGAGCCCTAAGCCGGTTTGGCTCAGCGGATAAAGCATCCACCTCCGGACTGAAGGGTTTGATTCCAGCCAAGGGCACATGCCTGGGTTGGGGGCTCGATCCCCAGGAGGGGGCATGCAGGAAGCAGCCAATCAACGATTCCTTCTCTCATCATTGATGTTTCTATCTCTCCATCTCCCTTCCTTCCTGAAATCAATAAAAATATATTTATTAAAAAAAAAAAAACCCACAAAGCTTGGAGATTTTCCTTGGGTTTCTCTTTATATCGACAAGCTATTTCTGTCCTTGTTGTGATCACTGATAGCTGGCTCCAGATCTGCACTGGCTCTTAGCCATTTTTCCAAATGGAATAAACCAGCGATAGAATATTCCAGAGGGCCCTGCCGGGACGGAGCGCAGCAGGGTCTCAGTGGAGCTGTGCCGGGCCCTGGGATGGAGCTCTCTGCCTGTCTGAGAAGGCGGGGGACAAGACCATCAGGCTCCGGATTCCAAAGGATTCCGAGGCTCGGGCCCAGGAATCCCACTTCCGGGAGTGTGCCCCCGGGAAGGCACCTCGCTTCGGGAAACATTTTATGCACAGAGATGGTCCGCCCTGCTTTTCCTCACGCAGACCCCCCACCCACATGCCCGGCAGGAGGCTGGGCCAGTGGACGTGGGGCATGTCCCCAACGGAGGAGTCGGCAGCTACAGAAAGCGAGGCTCGAGAGGAACGTGTAACACTGCGGCTAATGGTTACGTTGTAATCAATACTGAATTTAAGGGGCAGGAATCAGAGTTCTAGTTACAGGAAAATCATCGCGACTGAAAAGCCAAACAAGACAGAACGCGGAGTTTGAGAAAGACTCAGAGGACAGCCACGCACGCCGAGCTGTTCTTGGTCGGGGAGCTGGCTGCCTGGGTGTGTTCACCTCGCAAACATTCACGTACAGTCCCGACGTGTGCGCATTTCTGCCTGTCTGTTCGTTAGCCTTCTAGCACACTTACATTTTTAAAAATTAACCGTGGTTCCTGGCCAGGGTGGCTCCGCGGTTGAGCATCGATCTAGGAACCAAGAGGTCACGGTTTGCGGGCCTGATCCCCAGGAGGGGGTGTGCAGGAGGCAGCGGATCAATGATTATCTCTCATCACTGATGTTTCTATTTCTCTCTCTCTCTCCCTTCCTCTCCCCCTGAAAGTGAGAGAGTCTGTGACGTTTAAATACTGGAAGGAGATTACCTTCAATACAAAACTTTCTCAATCACTGGCACAGACTCATAGGAAGTCCTCACTCACAGTGCCGGCCATTCTAGATAAATGCACGGAGATTTTCTGTGTGAGAACCCCGTTTCTTAGAGCAGTGCATGCCATGGAGACAGAAAAGCGCAGGGCCGAGGGAGCAGGATGGGGAGAAAGACATGACATCCACTGAAGAAGATGGCCCAGCCCTGACCGGTTTGGCTCAGTGGATGGAGCGTCGGCCTGCGGACTGAAGGGTCCCAGGTTCGATTCTGGTCAAGAGCATGTACCTTGATTTCGGGCACATCCCCCTTGGGGGGGCGTGCAGGAGGCAGCTGATCAATGTTTCTCATTGATGTTTCTAGCTCTGTATACTTCTCCCTTCCTCTCTGTAAAAATAAAATAAAATATATTTTAAAAATAAAATAAAAAAGAAGATGGCCCGTCCTTCTGGGTGGCACACGTGAAGTTTTAAAAAAATTATCCCTGATAATCACTCGTGGAAAACAGCTAGGAAGATACTTTGCTTGAAATGCCAAACAGACGTGTTAGAGAGAAAAGCACGGTCCCAGGGACCGTCAGGCTGTGCTTCCCGCTGCCTCTCTCATCCTGCCTGTTGTAACGTGGCCGTCCCAGCAGTCCTGGGCTCAGCCGTTTCGGCGCTGCTGACCTGAGGGACTTGGAGAACAGATGGGTTTTCATCGCTCGAAGTAACTGGCCTTTTTTCCAACAAGTTTGCCGCACTTGGGCGAACGTGGGAGCTCGCCAGGCTGGGAAATAAATCACCGATGTTTCCAGCACACGGCCCTGGGGACCCTGGTTGTGCAGCAACCAGCCAGTGCGCCAGCACCGTCAGCACATCGGCAAACCAGGTCTGTGACCGCGCTGCGGCCAGCTCCCAGCCCGACGCTCCGTCAGCAATGCACAGCCCCAGGACGGCACTGCTGCAAACGGGGCCCGCGGTGGGCTTGGGACCAACTGGCTCCGCCGCTTAGCGGGATCGGCTGGGACTCTCAGGGCGTGGGTTAGTCCTGGCTCTGCTGGTAACAAACCGTGCCCTTAAGGCAAATCACCTGCACTCTGGAGGCTGATTCCTCATCCGTAACATTGGAGGATTTGACTAAATGGCCTCCAATGCCCTAGCCAAAGGCCGGGCGCTCTGGGTTTAAATCTTGGCCTTGGCATGACTAGTGGTGATCACTCCACTTCTCAGCTTCAATCTCCTCACCTGTCAGGTGGGGATCGTGATATTTACTCCGTGGGGCCTGGGATAGGTGAAGACCGCGGTCGGCAAACTGTGGCTCACGAGCCCCATGCGGCTCTTTGGCCCCTTGAGTGTGGCTCTTCCACAAAATACCACGGCCTGGGCGAGTCTATGTTGAAGAAGTGGCGTTAGAAGAAGTGTTAAGTTTTAAAAACTTGGCTCTCAAAAGAAATTTCCACTGTGGTACTGTTGTTATTTGGCCCTGTTGACAAATGAGTTTGCCGACCACTGAGTTAAGAGAAAGGCCTGTTGAAGAAGCTCTAATGATACAGAAACAGAACACAGAAATCCGTGCCTGCGGGCAGGGAGTCCCCTCGAAGGCTGTAGGAGAGGCCTGCATACTGGGGTGGCCTCTCTCTGACCCCAAATTAAAAGACAGTGAGTCCCCAGCTTCTCCGAGGAGCCGCCTCCACTCACCAGGAGCTTCAGCGTTTGCACACACAGCCTTTGGCAAATGTGCCTCCTGCTTCCCTGGGAAACCTGAGCGGAAACAGCCCTGAGCACACGGCGCCGTCATCTCGCTAACCTCCCGACCCGGACCGCCTCACGGACCAGCCACGTCTGGGTCACGGCGAGGACCCAGCGAGCTCACGTGTGGGACTCTCTCTGCCAAGGTCTCACCTTCCTTCCCCAACCCCCTCCCACGCCACCTCCTACAATCATCACTGGAGTCTCCCAGGAGGGGCACGCAAGGCGAGAGGGGGGAGCACAGAGACGTTTCTCCTCCGTCGCGTCATCGCGGTAACGAACCACCACCCAAAGCCAGGGCCCCGCCTGGCACCCGCGGGCTTCAGCACACACAGGAGAGCAGGCTCCCGAGGGGGCACGGTGAGCCCGGGGTGCTGCCCTCACTGCCCGTCAGTGACGGCACAGTGAGCTGGTTGGTCTGCAAGCTCGGGAGGGAAGGACAAAACCACTGACCCCAGAGAGGGACTGGGACGCATGGGCCTGGTGCTGCAGCGGCAGGTGCCCGCTCGGCCTGCGTCCTCACCGTGGCGAGGCGAGCACTGGCACCGGGCATTTACAGGGGACTCTCTCTAGTTTGCTTGTGTTTTGGTTTTGTTTTTCAATATATTTGTATTGATTTCAGAGAGAGAAACATCCATGATGAGAGAACCATCCATCAGCTGCCTCGTAGCACACCCCCCCCCCACCACCACGGGGGATCAAGTCCGCAACCCGGGCCTGTGCCCTGACCAGGAATCGAACCGTGAGCTCCTGGTTCATAGGTCGATGCCCAACCACTGAGCCACACTGGCTGGGCTAGGTTTGCTTACTTTGAAACATGGAATAGTCCCCCGGAGGCTGGCCAGGCACCCGAGATTACTGTGTGCAGGCTGATGTCCTCGCGGGCTACTTTACCTGCCTCATATTCACTCCGCAATCCCAGAGCCTGAGCTTTCCTTCCCTCTCCCTCCGGTTTTCCCAGCCAGGTTTTCCCGGGGCTCCTCCCCCTCAGGCCACACCTCGGCCCCTCCCTCACTCCTCCTCCTCCTCCATCCCACGTCAGAACCCTGGGGCCCACAGGGCAGGCCAGGGCCTTACTCCTCGCCAACGACCACCTGCACGCAGCAACGACCGGAACTGCCTGCCCCTATGTCCACCTCCGACTCAGCGCCCCCAAACTAGCACCGTCATTTCCGCTCCAAGGTTCTCCCTCCCGCGTTTCCTGTTTTAATGCGTGACACACACCCCTCCCGACTCTGCCCCATCTGCCCAATTGCCAAAGCCAAAAACGTGAGGGTCAGACTTGGCTCCCTCCTCCGTCTCCTTCCTCCTCCTCATCTACTGCCTTCGCATCTTGTCAATCCCACCTCTGAAGTGCACCCTGAGTCTTTGTGGCTCTCCGCTCACAGCCACCGCCCGGCACAGGCGGAGCTGGCGAGGTAAGAGGCAGGCGAACACCCAGGGCCGCCCCCGGGACCCCTCACCTCAGGACCACGCCGATGCAGAGGAGCGTTCCGAAGGCCAGGCTGCCTCCAGCCACCAGGAATGTGTACACCGGCACTGGAGGCTCTTGCACTGCGAGGGGGGGAGGAGGAGGAGGAGGAGGAGGAGGGGGAGGAGGAACAGAAGACAGAGAAAAGAATTAACTGGTGCTATCCAAAGCCTCCGAGGACCCTCACCCGGAGGAGGAAACGGCTCTGCTCACCAGCAGGCCTCCTGCCGTGTTCTGGCCAAAGCCACCCGAGAAGAATCCCCCCCGGCAGAGTCTGACAAACCCCGGGATCCTGCCACTCGGCAAGAGATCCACCCCCAAGCTCAGAGCTTGACACCTGTGGCCAGCCACAGGCTCCCACCCCCCTTCAGGGGGCTGTCCTGGGGGTGCTCAGCCTGCCCCCCGAAGGCACAGACGGGGGCTTCAGTGATGGCCGCTCCTTTGAGATCGAGAGGCCCAGGCGCTTTAAGTCAAGTGTCTGGGTGCAGTGCTCTCCACGGGGCATCAGCTCTGCCTGTCCCCCCACTTGGTAGCCAAGCCCCAGCCAGAGGCTCTCCACTCGCTCTTCCGCGTGCGTGTTCTCCCGCCCCTACCCCTGGCCATCCCGGGGCGCTCCGCACAGGGTCTCCCATCTCCCCGGGAGCACTCTTCCCACCGTCACTGCACCCCTGTTCCCTCTGGTCCTCCTCGGCCTTGGGGTCTCGGATGAGATGAGGCCGCTTCCCTTGAGCCAAGACCCCACTCCGAGCTGGGCAAGTGCCAGCTGTGAAACAGTTCGCGGGTTTGCCTCATTATTCTCGTGGTCCCTCATCATGCCTCCGCCAACAACATCCAACGGGGACACGCAAGGCAGTAAAAGAATGTTCCCGCCATTGGTCCTCTCCGTGAAGCAGACTGGCCTCCTGCCGACATTTCCAATAAGAAAGCACTTTCTGCCCTACCCGGTTTGGCTCAGTGGATAGAGCACATGTGTCAAACACAAGGCCCGCGGGCCAAATCCGTCCCGCCAGGCCTTGCAATGTGGCCCGCACCACGCTGTCATCACTACACTCCACTGCATTTCCATCACAATGACAGTTTATGACTGTTCAGTAAACCATTCGGCCCGCGATTTAGGATGGATTTTAGATTTTGGCCCCTTCTCTGATTGAGTTTGACACCCCTAGGATAGAGCATCGGCCTGCGGACTCAAGGGTCCCAGGTTCGATTCCGGTCAAGGGCATGTACCTTGGTGGTGGGCACATCCCCAGCAGGGGGTGTGCAGGAGGCAGCTGATCGATGATTCTCTCATCGATGTTTCTGACTCTCTATCCCTCTCCCTTCCTCTCTGTAAAAAATCGATAATTTTTCTTTTTTTTTTGTTTAAAGAAAAGAAAGCCCTCTCCAGAGTTACAAGCCTTGGGAGCCTCTTCGGCCACAAAATCAGAGCCCTCCGCGCTCGCTCACCTGGGAAGCCGGTTGCGTTGGCGGAATAGTGTGAGGAGATGTTGCCGTCCTCTCGGTCGGTAGTCGGTGCCTGTAGAAGACATTCCTCACTGTAAGCCCACATCTGCGATTCCCCCTTCATTCCAGACCCAGCTCGGGCACCTCCTCAGCCCTTACCCCAAGCCATCCCAGTATCTCACGTTCCTCTCCAGTTCTGACCTGTCCCTCTCAACATTTCCGTGATTGCTGGCATCATCTGCATCCACACCCTGCTCCCCAAGGCGGGGATTTCTTCCCATCGGCCACTCCACCAAGAGCCCAGGCCGTCCTATGGTCTGGTCCGGGGCCCAGGCACCACCCGACCAGGAAAACCACAGGCTAGAATCCTGGGGCCACCACGCCCCGCTCTGTGGCCGTGGGCAGGTTTCCTAACCCAGCTGGGTGTCCGTGTTCCTCCCTGAACCTCGGGGCACGTAGGATCGGTGAGACGGCAAGCGCAGGGGTGAGGGCCTGGGGCCTGGGCGGGCTCTCGGCCAGTCCGTGCCCCTGGCCCCCGCCCGTGCGGGGAGCGCTGGCCCCAGGGCCTGGACGTCACCCCGGAGCTGCTCCCGCCGGCCTGGACCCGCTGGCACTGATGGTGGGTGAGATGCCGGACCCGGGCTCCATCCGCCTGTGCTGCCCGGCTCCGGGCACCGGGGCCTCCCGGCTCAGCGTTTGTGGGAACTGGGGACCCCGGAGGAGATGCCGCTGGGAGGGAAATTGGATTACTAGAGGATTTGTTTAAGCAGCTTCGGCAGTAATCCTCTTTCCGGATCATCAGGACACCAGGAGTCCGCAGGGATGGGCTCGGAGGAACGGACTCGGAGCCGCACGCGAAGCCTCCGGGTGTCAGCAGCTCAGGGTGACACAGCATCCGCTGGCGGCTCTGGGAGCGGCCCCGCGCGGTTCTCCGCTTCACCAAAGCCCGGGTCGCGGGCTGCCCTGCCCTGCCCTGCCTCACAGCGCCTTCGGGAGGACACAGAGCCTGCCCACAGCCAGGCTGCCAGGAAGCGGCTGAGCTGGGTTTAAACGAATCCAGCTACAGCGCCAGCCAGCAGGCGCGGCCCTCGGACAAGAAAAGGATCTCACCTGCGCGGAGGAGGTCGCCTGCACCGGGGACGCGGTCGGAAAGCTCATGGGCTCTGTGGACAGAAGAATGTTATTATTAATGGCGCGCGGGCCAGAGTCCTGTCGCTGGGCTGCGGAAGCAGGATCAGGGCATCGCCATGTGGTCTGAAAGGGCATCCTGCTGCCTGGCCAGCGTGACTCAGCGGCTGAGCTGCAGCCTGCGGACCAGGAGGTGATGGCTTCATCCCCAGGCGGGGAGCATGCAGGAGGCAGCCACCGGTGACTCGCTGTCATCATTGATGTTTCCTCTCACTCTCCCTTCCTCTCTGAAATCAATTTATTTTTAAAAAATGCTTTTTAAATAAATAAAAGGGCACAATGTTGGGATTAACCCAATACCCAACCATAAGGGGCTAGCTACATAAATGACGATATAACCACATTTTATAACCGCTTTTTTTAAAAAATTGATCCCAGAGAGGGGAAGGGAGGGAAGAGAGAAGAGAGAGAGAGACATCACTGTGAAAGAAAAACATCCGTTGGTTGCCTCCAGCACGTGCCCTAACTGGGGATCAAACCCGCAACCTGGGTATGTTCCCTGACCGGGACTCGAACCCACCACCTTCTGGTGGCACGAGATGAAGCTCCAACGCACTGGGCCCCCCGGCCGGGGCTCCTGCAATAGCTTTAGAAAGTATTTCAGACAAATGTTGAGGACATGCTATACCATCATGTGAAAAATGCAAGGCAAGACGAAAATCCAAAGAGTTGGATCCAAAATGTTTAAAGAAACATATTCATGTCATCATGTATATACCATATATAAATTAATATGTATATACCATGTATAAATATATACAGTGGTGCCTCACACAACGAACTTAATTCGTTCCAGGAGCAAGTTTGTTATGCGAAAAGTTCGTTATGTGAAACGCGTTTTCCCATAACAATGCATGTTAAAAAAAATAATTCGTTCTGTAGCATAAAATATGCTAAGATGACATAAAAAAAGATAAATTTTTTGTTATTATTTTTATTTAGATACATCTAAAAACATAATTTTTTTAAAAAAACCACACACTTTTTTTAATTTTAAGACAGACTAAGTAGAGTCTACCGAATCTTGCACATCTTCATCCATTTTCTGCTTTTTGGCCGATGGTTTCATGAAAAACCTGTCCAAAGTCGTTTGTTTTTCTCTTTTCTCCAACATCTGCCGGAAATAACGGACAAGAGTATCGGAGTAAAGATCGTTGATCCTGTTTGCTTCAGCTGAATCCGGATAGTGGGCATTGGTAAACTCCTGAACTGCTTTCCATTTGACCAGGATGTTCTTGATGTCAGCAGTTGGGATTGGTTGATTGTTTGATTGTTGCTCCTCGTTATCAGATGACGCTTCCCTTTGAGCATTGTCCTGTTTCATTTCAACAGAAATCACCTTCCTGCTTTTTTTAGAAGCCATGATATAAAAAAAATATTGAGTTTAACTTAAAAGGACGACTGCCGTGATACGTGCGTGATTTAATTCGTAATGAAGAACGATTGCCGCGATACGTGCTTAAGTTAAGCGCAGTGACTAACGACTGCCTGCAGTGCCTGCGCGGAAGGATGCAATACATCGGCAGCGATCGTGGAAGCTTGGGCGAAGCAGTCGTGGAAGCTCGGGCGACTTCGTTGTGTGAAACGAAGTTCGTTGTATGAATCATGAAATGAAGTTCGTTGTGTGCTGCGTTCGCTGTGCGAGGCGTTCTTTTTGCGAGGCACCACTGTATTGTGGTATATCACATTGTACACCATAATGTATGTTCACACGCAGGAGGGACACACACCACCAGAGGTGAGCACCACGGTTACCGCGTGGATTACGGCGGCTCCCGCACACGGACGAAGGGCGAGCTGTGTCCTTCCGAAGCCCCTCCTCTCCTGACCGCAGGGACGGTGCTACGAGTGAGCCCTGAGCGTTCTCGTCACGTTTTCCCTACTTCCTCTTCTCCTCTTTCTTTCCTTTTTATTGTGCCTACATGGGACGAAGGACGTCAGCTAAGCCTACTGCGGCAATCACGTCAGGACGTGTGTCCATCAAACCTTCCCGCCGTCCGCCTTACAGTCCTACAGCAACGCCTGGCCATTCTTTCTCATTAAACTGGGGAATGTCCAATAAAATTAAAAAATAAACACGTGTTCATTGCCTTCTAGGCACCTTCCTGCAATAAAGTGTTTCGCAGCCCAGCCGGCCTGGCGCAGTGGCGCAGCACTGACCTGTGAACCGGGAGGTCAGGGCACATGCTTCAGGCCCATCCCCAATGGGGGCGTGCAGGACGCAGTGGGTCGGTGATTCTCTCTCACCATTGATGTTTCTCTCTCTCTCCTTCTCCCTTCCTCTCTGAAGTATATACATCCACACACACTGTAAATAGTTCAATAGATAGATAGGTAGGTAGGTAGATAGATAGATAGATAGACTTATAGACAGACAGACAGACAGATAGATAGATAGATAGACTTATAGACAGCCAGATAGATAGACAGACAGACAGATAGATAGATAGATAGATAGATAGATTTAAAGCATTTAACATAAACAAGTTCTGACCCTCCTGGGTGGATCTCGCTCACTTTGCTGAGCAGCGGCAGGACCAGGCAGCCCCAGAGCCCTCCTCTCCCCTCCACGGGAACAGTGCTTCCGCAGAAACCTCCAGGCCGGCAGGAGGCCACGAACCGCAGTGCGCGTGTGACCTGAGGCCGCACTCAGCGGCAAGCAGGGCCCGAGGGACCAGGAGCCAAAGCAGGGCGTAGCGTGCTCTGAAGCGTAAAAGCATTTTCTTTCCCGTTTATCATTTCTCCACCAGAAAGTTAAAAACTCCGGAGAAACGGTTTACACAAATGAGCCAAAAGCAAAATAACCAGTTAGCGGTGGAGGAGAGTGTGCCCTCCCCAGGAGAGAACACCACCCACTGGAGGGGACATGCGAGCATGTTCAGGCCTCCTTCCTATGGTGCAGAGGAAACAGAGGCCCAGAGAGGGAGAGCAACTTGCCCAAGGTCACACAGCAAGTGGGCCCCGAGTCAACCAAGAATTAACGGGGGGGGGGGGGGGGGGGGGGAGAATGAACGGGAAGATCATCGTTCTTTTTCCTTTATGCTCCTCCCCACCGAGCCCGGCAGAGGACAGACTCACAGCAGAGAGTGACTGAAGGAGGGATGGAGGGATGGAGGGATGGGGGCGCTAGAATGGAAGCAGACGCCAGGAGACGGGGCAGCACTGCTTAGAAAATATGGCTGACCATGGACGGTCCTTCAGGCCAGTGGTTCCCAAACCCAGCCCTGCTCCGCCTTTCCCGTGGCCTCTTAGGCTCCATCCCTGTCCGATGGCCTCAGAATCTTGGGGACAGGAGCCAGACATCAGGGATTTAAAAAGACTCTCCAAACCAGAGAAATGTTTTAGGAAGGAAGAGAGACCTGTCTAGTTTCTACACTCAGCTCTGACCCCCATCCTGGCCTTGGTCAGGAGAAGGCGTTTTACCTTGGGCGGCTCGGTTTCCCGGGGGCAGAGTGGGGGGGAGGGTTAGTTCGGAGTTATTTCAAATAACCCAGGAGCGTCCCCAGAACGAACAGAAGTCTTCTAATGCAGAAAAAAACTGTCTTGCATAACAAGACTTTTGAAAGATCTCCCTAGAGGACCATGGGGGCCCCTAATCCAGACCATTTTGTATCATTAGGAATAACCATTTCCATCTCCCAGATGAAGGAACTGGGGCTCAATGGAGATAGGATTAATAATGCTAATAGCGTACTAATAAAATGCCACTAATGCTTCTAGCACCAGGGTAACTACACGCCAGTTCCAAACGGCTCGTCTGCCTGCATTCTCACCCCATTTCGGGAAAACGTAATGGGAGCCGGGGCTGTGGGTTGGGGGGGTTGGGGGGATGACAGGTGCAGGCTGACAGTGATTTGGGAAGAAGCCCACAGCGGTGGATGGTATGGCTCCCACACAGACAGAAGCTCAGCGAGGAGGGGCCTCCCAGCAGGAGAGGGTCAGAGGGTTCAGAGGACAATACAGGGCGCGGCAAAAACAGGCTCACAGTGGTGAGTCCGTGAAACACGCTTTATTCTTCGCCTTATTATCATTATTATTCATTAATTACTGCATTATTTTCCATGTGAACAACTGGAAGCCTGCTTTTTTTTTTCTTTTTTTAAAATATATTTTATTGATTTTTTTACAGAGAGGAAGGGAGAGAGATAGAGAGCTAGAAACGTCAATGAGAGAGAAACATCGACCAGCTGCCTCTTGCACACCCCCTACCGGGGATATGCCTGCAACCAACGTACTTGCCCCTGACCGGAATCGAACCCGAGACCTTTCAGTCCGCAGACCAACACTCTACCACTGAGCCAAACCGGTTTCGGCTGGAAACCTGCTTTTGACCAGAGGGATCCGTGGGCCAGGGAGACCCACCTGCCTGGAGAGTCCCCAGCCCTGGCCTCGGGGCACCCCAAACCTCTAGCACCTCCTTCAACCCCTGGGATCCCCCAAAATGGGCCCACTCTGCTCTCTGCCCGTCACACGCAGCCCTCGTTATTTCCTGGGTGTAGGGGGACAGGGCATGAAGCAAAGCGAAAGGAATTTGTTAGGAGCAAGAAATAACCCTCTCATGTCTGACGGGCTTTTCCCAGGCCCCCTGCCCCACTTTGCACTTGGTGCCAGTGGTTTGTGGAGAGAGCTACTGACCACTGCCCTGTCAGTGACCTCTTCTCCCTGCCCTGCCCTCAGGGCCCGTCACAGTGAGTCACTGCACAGGTGCACCTGCCTGTGCTGGCTGGAGCGGGGACCCCAAGACCTATGACTCAGAGCCCTGCCCTCCACAAGGGGAAGCTCCCTGGGAGCACAGCCTGTGCGCAGCCAGGCACCAGCCTCCAGGGGGCAGCACCCGCGGAAGCCCGGCTCAGCAGCCCCCCTTCAGGGGGGTGGAGGACTGGGGGCAAAGAGGTGAGGGGAGCAGCTGGTTCCGCTCTTATTATTTAGTCACTCCTGGGGTTTTGAAGATCCCCCCAAAAGCACACGTGTACAGGACGAGGTCAAACCCTTCGGCTGCTTATGGGAGGAGAAGCCACGTGCTCGGACTGAGCTCACAGGGTCAGGCCAGCACGTCACAGGAGCACAGCGACCCGAGGCTGGAGGGCAGAGCCAGTCCCCGCTGTGGCCCCCCCTCCGCGGGGAGGACACCCACAATGTGAACAGGGACAGCACAGAGGAGACCGGCTCCAGGGGAAGGCGCACAGACAGGTGAGGGACCCATCAACGCCCCACACACACAGCCTGGGAACCGGAGCCCAGCAGACGAAGGTCCTCTGGGAATTCCCGAAGAATTCAGGGAGCCGGCCAGCGAGCCTATTGTCGGGAGGGGGGGACCCTAGAGGGCGCGGCCCAGTGAGGCCAGAGCTGTTCACATAAGAAAGAACGTCCTACGTAAACAGACATTTCTGCAAGAGATAGACAAGAGGCCGATGAGCACACGAAAAGATGCTCAATGTGCTCAGACCGGTGTGGCTCAGTGGATAGAGCGTCGGCCCTCAGACTGATGGGTCCCAGGTTCGATTCCCGTCAAGGGCATGTACTTGGGTTGGGGGCACATCCCCAGTAGGGGGCGTGCAGGAGGCAACTGGTCGATGTTTCTCTCTTGTTGATGTTTCTAGCTCTCTATCCCTCTTCCCTTCCTCTGTGGAAAATCAATAAAATATAGTATTTTTTTTAAAAAGAGGCTCAATGTCACTGTTCATTATGAAGATGCAAATCAAAACTACAATACCACTCCACACACATGAGGATGGCTACTGTCAAAAACAAACAAACAGCCGAAACCTTTGGCTCGGTGGATAGAGCGTCGGCCTGCAGACTGAAAGGTCCCAGGTTCGATTCCGGTCAAGGGCATGTACCTTGGTTGCGGGCACATCCCCAGTGGGGGGTGTGCAGGAGGCAGCTGATCGATGATTCTCTCTCATCGATGTTTCTAGCTCTCTATCCCTCTTCCTTCCTCTGAGTAAAAAATCAATTTATATATATATATTAACAAAACAAAACAAAAAGATGGCTATTAGGGGCCGAGGGAGGAGAATGGTGAGTTAGTGTTATGGGCACAGTTTCAGTTCTGCGAGATGAAGCAAGCTCTGAGGACAGAGGGTGGCGATGGTTGCACAAGAGTCCTTAGTGCCACGGAACTATATATATCCTTAAAAATGGTGAAAATAGTTTAACTTATGCGTATTTTTACCACAATTCAAAAAAAAAGTTTTTTAAGGAACAAAGGCCTGACAGAAAGGGGATTTCTTAGAGCCGCTGGTGGCCATGCACGTTCGGCGGCTGGAATACGGGAAGCGGCGTCCGCCTGCACTCGGGACCCCTCCCCTGAGCGCTGTTGTCATGAACGTTCTCGCCTCACCAAGGCCCCGAGGCCGCAGCCTCGTCCGTGCTCACGGAGGGAGCGAATGGTTCGCAGAGCGAGCAGATCACAGACAACTGGGACCAGTCAGCACAGCCTGGCCCTGAGGGGCTGTCGTTCACGCAAATAAATGCTTTCCCTGCGGAAGACAGCGCAGGGGGCCTCCCTCCGAGTCCGGTCTGAGGGGAAGGAGCTCTGAAGAAAAGGGTCCGGTGGAAAGCTGGGGGGAAGCTCCAACAAAGATCAGAAAGTAAGGAGTGAAGGAATTGGAACCCTGTGCATTGCTGGTAGGAATGTAAAATGGTGCAGCCACTTGGAAAACAGGATGGCAGTTCCTCAAAAACTTAAAAATGAATTATCATGCCCAGAACCTGCACTCGAGGTCATGTGCTGCCCAGCCCGCCCTGCTGGCTCTCCCAGGACAAGGCGGACAAGAACACCCAAACGGCAAAGCCCGGTTCAAGGTAACACCACCCATCACAGCACCCATGGGGGGAAGCATGTGCAGCCTCCACGTAAAGTCTTCTCCGGGGCCTGGGGCCAGCGGAGGAGGAGGAGGAGGAGGAGGAGGAGGAGGAGGAGGAGGAGGAGGAGGAGGAAGGGGCGGGGGGGGGGGCAGACAGGCCCGGGCAATGGATGTCACTCCCATCTTTCCCTTTGTATCCAGACACACTCCACTGACGAGCATTTCACTCTTTTTAAATTGCTTAGCGTTGAAGAACGGCGGATTTGGTTCATGACACTGAACCGGAGAGATGGGACCCGCAGACAAGCCTGGGAGTCCTCCTCCACTGACACTGGGGGTGCACAGCAGAGGGCGGTGAGCTCGCCATCGCCGGAGGCCTGCAAGCCGAGGCGGGAGGCCCCGCTCCGGGCTGTGGGCAGGCGGTTTCTGCACGGGGTCTCGTCTGCAACAATAGATCCTCCTCTCTCACAGGAGAGAGTCCAAAGATAGTGTCTCAAGCCCTAACCGGTTTGGCTCACTGGATAGAGCGTCAGACTCAAGGGTCCCAGGTTCAGTTCCGGTCAAGGGCAGGTACCTTGGTTGCGGGCATATCCTCAGTGGCAGCTGATCGATGTTTCTAACTCTCTATCCCTCTCCCTTCCTCTCTGTAAAAAATCAATTATATATATTTATATATATATATATATAAATTTTTATTTTTTTAAAGATGATGCCTCAGATTGTCTTCTGGGAAAAACAAACAGCCATATTCGGTTGCTGTTCAGCGATGAGGAGAGCCAGAGAAGAAACAGAAGCCCGAGCGGCTTCCTCCAGGAAGCAGGACTGGACGTGGGCAGGGGTGAGGACACTGGCGGTTAGAAGCCCTTCTCTGCTTCTCTGCCTTGAGCAAGTATTCACTGAATGAAAATTTTTAAAGTTAAAAAAAAATTCCCAGCCCTGACCGGTTTGGTAGAGTGTCAGCCTGCAGACTGAAAGGTCCCAGGTTCGATTCCGGTCAAGGGCATGTACCTTGGTTGCGGGCACATCCCCAGTAGGAGGTGTGCAGGAGGCAGCTGGTCGGTGATTCTCTCATCGATGCTTCTAACTCTCTATTCTTCTCCCTTCCTCTCTGTAAAAAAATCAATAAAATAAAAATAAATTAAAAACTCCAATGGCGGCCTGGCTGGCTGGATCGGTTGATTGGGGCGTCATCCCATACACCAAAAGGTCGTGGGTTTGATTCCTGGTCAGGGCACAAACCGAGGTTTTTGGTTTGATCCCCAGTAGAAGAGGCAACTGGTTGATGTTTCTCTCACATCAATGTCTCTCTCAAATCAATAAAAACATTTTTTTTTAATTCCATGGGTTTAAAAAAAAAAATTAATCATACAATTACTAAATAATACATTTCCAAAAATATTTAGTAACAATAACATGGAAAGTGCACAATATTTTTATGTTTTATATATATATATATATAACATATTTATATATATATAACAAATTTATATATATATATAACATATATAAAATTCACACACACAAAGGAAAGAAGCATACTAAAATGTTCACACTGGTTTTCTCTAGCTGGGAAAATACCACTGGTCATTATTCTTCATTTTTTTTTTCTGGAATTTTCATGTCTATAACACACTTATTTCAATCGTTCCTCTCAAAGGCAATTATTACTACCTTTAACATCTCCTTTTGTTTTTATTTACTTATTTTTATATTTTTTAAAAATATATTTTATTGATTTGTTACAGAGAGGAAGGGAGAGGGATAGAGAGTTAGAAACATCAATCAGCTGCCTCCTGCACAACCCCCACCAGGGATGTGCCTGCAACCAAGGTACATGCTCTTGACCGGAATCGAACCTGGGACCCTTCAGTCCGCAGACCAATGCTCTATCCACTGAGCCAAACTGGTTTTGGCTATTTACTTATTTTTAAATATTTTTTATTGATTTTGAGAGAGAGAGGAAGGGGGGAGAGAGAAACATCGATGTGAGAGTGGAACATCAACTGTCTGCCTCCTGCACGCCCCCGACACACCCGAGCATGTGCCCTGGCCTGGAGTTGAACCAGCCACAACCAGAGGAGCCACACTGGCAGGGCCTTTCTCATTTTTTTCTTTTTTTCTCTTTTTTTGTAAAAAGCACTAGTAACGACGGTAAATTAAATATGGCTACAAATTCTTTGCGGCTCCCACCATCAAGTTGTGAAATGATTTCCCCTCCTCCAGTCTGGGCTGGCTTCCTGGGAGGTGCCCAGCTCCGGGGAGAAGCCAGGGCCCCAGCGAGCCACCTGCCAGCACCAACCGCCAGCCACGTGGGGGAGGCCCCCAGGGTCCTGCAGGCCTGACGCAACCTCACGTTCCGTCTCCGGCAAGACCAAGGAGCGCCGCCTCGCCGACTCACTTCCAAAACCTCCAGCAGATAAATGGTTTCTGTTGTACCCGAGGGTGGGGGTGACTTGTTATGCGGCCGTAGGTAGCTGATACAGCAGCCAAGCGGAGACCGCCCTCCTGTGCCCACCAGCACTCACCTGTCCAGGGGGTGCCCAGGACCTCCTGGCTCCACATGCTCCACTGGCCATGCCCGAACTCCTCCCGGGCCCGCAGCTGCACCACGTGCCTCCTGCCGCTCCAGGCGTCGCGGATGGTGCAGCGGTGCTGGAGGTCCGGGACCTGGGGGCAGAGGCACGTTACTCGCCGCCGGGGGACTCGGATGCCCGGGCCGCCCGCCCTTCAGCGCCCCCTCTCTCCCGGGTCTAGTGGGTGACGCTGCTGGGCTGCCGTCACCCTGGCGGCTCAGAAACACGGGTGCCCTCTGGGCCAACACAGGCAGAAGCTGGAAGTCACTGCGGCCCCCCCCCCCCCCCACCGCGTGCACCGTGAAACCCTGCCGGCCACACCCCGACATGCTCACAGCCCCACTGCTTCCCGGGTCACTCCGCCACTCTCACGAATAGGCCCAGGGAGGATGATAGATCCCCCTTCCTTCAATTGATGGACAGACGCAAACCCCACCTGCGTGCGGCCAGACATACCTGAGCACTGGACCACCCATCAGCACCTGCCAAATACCCTAAGCCCCCCGATTCCTAAGCCCCTAGGTCCCTAACCACCCATCAGCGTGCGCTGAGTACCCTAAGCCCCACCCCCTATCCTCCCCTTAAAAGTAGACCCCCGGGTGCCTTCCGGTCTCTTTCTCTCTGGAAGCAGCCGGCGGAGGTACCCCTCTCTCCAATAAAAGCCTGTCTGCTGGCATCCCAGTCTCAGTTACTCCTTTAATTAATCGATCAAAGGGGAGGTTTTCATTTCCCTGTCATAGTGCATGCCGCCGTTTCAGAAGGCCCCCCCTCCCCCCCCCCTGCTTCTCCAGAGCCTGCTTTCTTCCCGGCAGCCTCTCTCCTGCCCCTCGGCAGCCGGGGCCCTTTTCCATCCCGAAGGAAGGGAGAGGAGTTACCATCCACGTCGTGAATTCCTTGGAGCGTTCGGCCCGGTAGCGGAGCTCAAACTGCAGCCGGTAGAAATAGGAGTTCCAGGAGGGCGGGTCTTGCCAGGTGACGGTGAGCCAGCGTGGGTTCCGGTCCACGGCGGTGACCGTGATGTTGATGGGTGGGTCGGGTTGCACTGTGGGAAAAGGATGCTCTCGTGGGGTGCCGAGGACAGAAACACACACACACCCCCCGCAGGCTGTGCAAACCCCCACAGCAGGATGCCACCCCGGCCCCAAGCACTTCCCCCGCTTCCCTGGCCAGCCAGAGTCTGACTTCCAGTCAAGGAAAGCCCCAAAGGCCCCAGCACCCCAACCCTCGCCGGCCCCTCCGAGAAGCCCGAGAGCGAAGCAGAGGAAGGGGTGGGGGCGGCCTGGGAGGGCTCACGTACGGTTTTGGTAACCCTGGAATGAGTAGGGTCTGCTGGCCTTGCCGCCTGCACTGTTGGCCACGCACAGAGACACGATGTAGACAGAGTCGTCTCCCTCAGGGACGGCCAGCTGGCAGGAGAGCTTCTGGGACTCCGGGGAATACTGGCACGGCTCCTGGGAGTCTTCGGGCGGACCGTACTGGCTGCCGACACAACAGGAGAGCAGCCCACGCTCAGATTCTGAGGACTCGGGGCGGTGGGGGGGGGCATGGCGAGGGGGGGGGCTCCGCAGGCTGGCCCTGCCGCTGGGCCCCTGCTACACACGTGGTGGCTCTCGCTACGTGGAGGAAATTACCCTCTCCGAGCCTTTGTTTGCTTGTCTGAACATGGGAATATCAGTAGTGCCTGCCTGGTGGGGGTTGGTTAGGGTTCGTTGAAAAATGCGTGTAAAACATCTAGCTGGGGCCCAACGGGTCCAAGGTGCTGACACGGGGTGTGTGTGTGTGTGTGTGTGTGTGTGTGTACACTCTGCCAGGTCCTGTGCTCCTGGGAAGGCAGGGGCTGCAGAAATGAGTTGAAGGCTCCTTCCTCCCTGACCTCAGGCCCACTGGCCACTGGAGAGGGTTTGGGGGGCTGGGGCAGCCAGGAGAAAGGCCGTCCCGGAGCACAGCATGCGGGGGTCGCAGGAGCATTCCGGCAGGTGAGCCCAGAACAGAAGGCTGGGTGAGTCAGACACGGGCCGCCTGGCCCGGAAGCCGAGACCTCGGCCGCGTCTGACGTGCGTGGGCTTGTGGGGCCCCAGCAGCCGCCCGCCCCGCCTCGGGGGAGATGCATCACCCACCAACCTCCCGTGAGGGGTTTGAACCCCAGGCCCAGAGCAAGCTTCCGGGAAGCCCGCCCCAGCCTTTCCAGTGGGAGCTAGAGCTTCCCTCCTCCATCCCACCAGCCCGGCCACAGCGGGTGCCGGACTCCCCGAAGGAACCGGGGAGCAAATGGTGAGCAAGCACAGCTGGGGAGGGTGTGGAGTGTGCACAAAGCAGACACACACAGCCGCCTCCCTCCCGGGCCTGGGGTCCCCCAGGCTCTCACAGTCTCCCTACCCCACTTCAGAGGCAGGGACCCAGGAGGAGGACAGAATGCCTGAGGCTGCTGACAGGAGGAGGGTGTGAGCTAAACTCTCTCTCTCTCTCTCTCTCTCTCTCTCTCTCTCTCTCTCTCTCTGTGTGTGTGTGTGTGTGTGTGTGTGTGTGTGAAAATGCCAGTAGCAAACACACAAAGTATTCTAATAAACTTGCCATAGGCTGGTCTAGGCAGCGACCCCGGGAACTGAATCACCCGGTTGAACTCACTGTTCAGACTTTTTGATCCTCTGGTGACGGACAGCCCAAACTCAAACAGAGACGCCTGGGCTGAGAGGGGGCCCTTGGCTCTGGGTGGGGACAGAACACACTGCGGTGTGCTGGTTTCCAGCATCTCCCCGTCCTCCACATCCCTGCCAGGCCTCATCCCGGCTCCCAGAGCCGTGGTCGGCAAACTCATTCGCCCACTATCAACAGGACGACGATGATGGAAATTTCTTTCGAGAGCCACGTTTTTTAAACTTAAACTTCTTCTAACGCCGCTTCTTCAAATTAGACTCACTCAGGCCGTGGAAGAGCCACACTCAAGGGGCCGAAGAGCCGCATGTGGCTCCGGAGCCGCAGTTTGCTGACCCCAGTCCTAGAGCAAAGGGACCTGACACCGCCCCTCCCCCCACCCCCGGGCAGGTGTGACTTCCAGCCCCCTCTCCCTGTCACCGCTTCCTTCGTCTGCCATTGTCATGGAAACTCGGGGTAAGCTCCCTAGGCCCGGACACCTGGACACAACAATGAGCGACTTCCCCTCCCCTCCCGGGCCATTTGCATCTTCAGGACAAGCCCGACCTCTGCGCTGAATAATGAATATCAGGGCTGGGCTGGGCTGCGAGCAGAGCGGCCAGCAGTGTGACCTTACACACGTAAATCGGTTTCCCTTAAATCAGTTTCTCGGAAAGGTCCGTTTATCTGTTAAAGAGGAAAGTCACACCCACTTCCCGGCAGGTGTCCTCGTTGACAGGACAGGTATCCCAGCCCGGTTTCCTCTCTCTCGTTCCCTCCTCTTAATGCTGGAGGGATTACTTCCTAATGCTTTCTGAGGGGAAAACTTTGGGATCACTGGCTGCCCAGTACCACTTGGCTCCTCTGAGAGGCCCCGACCCAGGGCCTCCGTTAAGGATGAGCAGACAGCCCTGACCGGTTTGGCTCAGTGGATAGAGCGTGAGCCTGCGGACTCAAGGTTCCCAGGCTCGATTCCGGTCAAGGGCTTGTGCCTTGGTTGCGGGCACATCCCCAGTAGGAGGTGTGCAGGAGGCAGCTGATCGATGATTCTAACTATCGCTCTCCCTCTCTGTAAAAAAAAATAAAAAAATCAATTATATATATTTTTTTAATTTCTTTTTTTTTTTAAGGATGAGCAGACACAGCACAGCCCAGACCCCAGACCCGGATACTTACGACCTCCGCACCAGCAGCACGGCCCTGGTGCCGGGGGACGGCGGGCTGCGGGGGCTCCACTCGCACACCACGTTGCTGACCGGGCTCTTCCGGAAGCAGGAGAGCACGGGCTCCTCGGGGGGACCTGGAGGGCAGCGTGCCGGGCGGGTGAGCTTTCCCCCGCCTTCCCGGAGAGCCCGGCTGAGCCCGGCTCACCTCCCCACCCAGCTCTGGCACCTTGGCCACGCACGGCCACACACACAGGGGCTGGGAACGAAAGGACCTCACTGCGGACTGAAGGGTCCCGGGTTCGATTCCGGTCAAGGGCATGTACCTTGGTTGAGGGCACATCCCCGGTAGGGGGTGTGCAGGAGGCAGCTGGTCGATGTTTCTCTCTCATCGACATTTCTATTTTATTTTATTTTATTTTATTTTATTTTTTAAAATATATTTTATTGATTTTTTACAGAGAGGAAGGGAGAGAAATAGAGTCAGAAACATGGACGAGAGAGAGTCATCGATCAGCCGCCTCCTGCACACCCCCTACCGGGGATGTGCCCGCAACCAAAGTACATGCCCTTGACCGGAATCGAACCCGGGACCCTTCAATCCGCAGGCTGATGCTCTATCCACTGAGCCAAACCGGTTTCAGCTCATCGACGTTTCTAGCTCTCTATCCCTCTCCCTTCCTCTCTGTAAAAAAAATCAATAAAATATATTTAAAAAAAGGAAGAAAGGACCTCACGGTGGCAAAGGGAGAGCCCAGGCTAACTTATCTAAAGGGGGAGAGAACAATCCCCAAAAGGGGGGCTTTGGGTGACCAGACGTCCCACTTTTGGCAACAATTTGTCCGTTCAAAACGCCGCGGGACGAGGGACAAATTGTTGGAAATCGGGACGTCTGGTCGCCTTAGCTTTGGGGTCACGCAGCCTGCTGTGGGGTCTCAGGCAAGCCCCGCCCTCTTTCCCGCTTCCTCCTCTGACAGGAAGGGATGGTCAGGGATCCCAGCCCGGCGTCCCCGGGACTCCCAGGGAGACGCAGCCGGGGCACAGGGCCTGGCACACAGGGCATCTGGCCCAGCACGTCTGTATCGAGATGGGAGGGCGCCGGGAGCCGGCTGATTCTAACAGTAAAGAGCGTTGGTGTGGGCCCTGGCCTGTGTGGCTCAGTGAGTAGAAAGCATCAGCCTGTGGACTGTAAGGGTCCCAGGTTCGATTCCCACCAAGGGCACATGCCTGGGTTGCGGGCTCGATGCCCAGTGTGGGGCGTGCAGGAGGCAGCTGATCCATGATTCTCTCTCATCATTGATGTTTGTATCTCTCTCCCTCTCCCTTCCTCTCTGAAATCAACAAAAATATATTTTGAAAAATTAAAAAATAAAGACAAAGAGCGGTAGGCAGAAACCAGTTCGGCTCAGCGAATGGAGCATCGGCCTGCGGACTGAAGGGTCCAGGGTTCGATTCCAGTCAAAGCATGTACCTTGGTTTCGGGCACATTCCCAGTACGGGGGCGTGTGCAGGAGGCAGCTGATGGATGTTTCTCTCGTCGATGTTTCTGACTCTCTATCCCTCTCCCTTCCTCTCTGTAAAAAAAAAAAAAAAAAAAAAACACACAATAAAATCTTTTTTTTTTTTAAAGGAAGAAAAAGAGCGTTGGTGTGGGACGATGCAGTGTTCAGCATTTAACCTTTGCCCGGGCTCAGAGGGAAGGTAATGAAGTTAACCTGCTTCCCCAGAGAGGAGGCGGAGGAGCAGAGAAGTTACCTGGGAAGGAGGAGCCACAGGCAGGCCCCCGCGCTCCCCGCTCCAGCCCTCACCGCACCCTCCCGCCGGCCGGCCTCACCCACCCGCGGGAATCCCCGCCCGCCTCGCTGGCAGACATGATTCCTGACCCCCCCTTCGTGTTCGAGAAGGAAGCTGGGAAGAGGGCGGGCTTGCCCGAGACCCCACAGCAAGCCCGCGGGACCCCGAAGCCCCTCTTTTGGGGACTGTTCTCTCTCCCCACGAGCCAAGGGAAAGACAGGAGTGCCGGTCAGGCAGGGAGCCGGGGTGCAGAGCCGCTGGCCGGAGCCGGCGGGCACAACTCACCCTCCACCAGCAGGCGCACGGTGCCCGCGGGGCGGCCGGCCCGGGCGCAGGAGTAGTTCCCCGAGGCGCCGGGCTGCACGGCGCGCAGGAGCAGCCTCGCGCCCGCGCCCGCCCCCCGGCGGCCGCGCGCCCAGCGGACCGTGGCGTTGTCCCCGGGCCGCCCGCCCGGGCAGGTCAGCGTCACGTCGGCGCCGGGCCTGCTGGTCAGCACGCCGCCCTCCGCCGCTGGGGAGAGAGAGGAGACACGCTCAGTAAGTCCGCGGCCACGGGGAGCTCCATCCCGGACCGGAGCCCCCGGAGGCTTCTCGGAGGGGACCGGACGTCCCGAGTTTGTTGTTTTTGTTTTTACTTGGAGGAAGAGAGAGGGACAGAGAGAAACATCAACGAGAGAGAATCATCGACCAGCTGCCTCTTGCACACCCCCCACTGGGGATGTGTCCGCAACCACGGTACATGCCCTCGACCGGGATCGAACCCGGGACCTTTCAGTCCCCAGGCCGAAGCTCCATCCACTGAGCCAAACCGGTTTCGGCAATTTTTTAAAAAAATCGGGACTGTTTTAAAACGCCGCGGGACGCGGAACAAATTGTTGGGAATCGGGGCTGTCCTGCCAGAAGCGGGACGTCTGGTCACCTTATCAACACTAAACGTTTCCCAAGTCCACCCATGGGCCAGGCCTCCACCCGGGTGATGGCAACAGCCTCCCCGAGGCCCCAGGACCCAGCCGCGGCCCCCCCACCCGACCCCGCTGCCCCCCACCCCGACCCCGCTGCCCCCCCGCTGCCCCCCCACCCCGACCCCCGCTGCCCCCCCGCTGTCCCCCCACCCCGACCCCGCTGCCCCCCACCCCGACCCCGCTGCCCCCCACCCCGACCCCCACTGCCCCCCCGCTGCCCCCCCACCCCGGACCCCCGCTTGCCCTCCGCCGACTGCCCCCAAAACCCCCACCCCGCTCTGCCCCCCACCCCGACCCCGCTCTGCCCCCCACCCGACCCCGCTGCCCCCCCACCCGAGACCCCCCTGCCCCCCCCACCCGACCCCGCCTGCCCCCCCACCCCGACCCCGCTGCCCCCCCACCCCGACCCCGCTGCCCCCCCCACCCGACCCGCTGCCCCCACCCGACCCGCTGCCCCCCACCCCGACCCCCGCTGCCCCCCCCCACCCCGACCCCGCTTTGCCCCCACCCGACCCCGGCTGCCCCCCCCCACCCCGACCCCCACGGCCCCCACCCACCCCGCTGCCCCCCACCCGACCCCGCTGCCCCCCCACCCCGACCCCCCCACCTGCCCCCCCACCCCGACCCCCGCCTTTGCCCCCCCACCCAGACCCCCGCAGTGACCCCCCGCTTTGTCCCCCCACCCCGACCCCGCTGCCCCCCCCACCCCCCACCCGACCCGCTGCCCCCCACCCCGACCCCCCCCCCCCTGCCCCCCCACCCCGCCCCCCGCTGCCCCCCCACCCCGACCCCCGCTGCCCCCCCGCTGTCCCCCCACCCCGACCCCCGCTGCCCCCCCACTGCCCCCCCACCCCAACCCCGCTGCCCCCCACCCCCACCCGACCCCGCTGCCCCCCACCCCGACCCCCGCTGCCCCCACCCCGACCCCGCTGCCCCCCACCCCGACCCCCACCGCCCTCCACCCTGACCCCCGCTGCCCCGGAGCCTTCGGAAGCTCGATCCGGCCTCCCCACAGCCTCCCCACTCTTTCGACTAGATATCCCTTTGAGGGCCTGTTCACAGCATCGTGTCCAAAATCACAGGAACAAGTAAACTTTTTTTTTAGTACAGATTATATATTCGCACTCGAAGATCTAAATTAGCCCAACCCCCTTGGACTAATTTTTGTTGCTGTTGATCCTCACCCGAGGATATTTTTTCCAATGATTTTTCTAGAGAGGGAGAGAGAGAGGGAGGGAGAGAGAGAGAGGAGGGAGGGAAGGGAGGGAGGAAGGGAGGGAGGGAAGGAGGGGGAGGGAGGGGAGGGAGGGAAGAAGGGGGAAGGAGGGGGGGAGGGAAGGAGGGAGGGAGGGGGAGGGGGAGGGAAGGAGGGAGGGAGGGGGAGGGAGGGAGGGAGGGAGAGAGAGGGAGGGGGAGGAAGGGAGGGAGAGTTTTTCCTAGGCGAATGAAGACACAATATGTCTTCTGGGTCACTTAGTGCCACATGGTGCCATAAATCTCCCGGATGTAGTACAAAGTTCATGGATATGAGTTCAGGGTTTCTGGGTAGCCAATTTTAATCAGGGAGGGAGGGAAGAGAAATATCGATGGGAGAGAGATACATTAATTTGTTGCCTCCCACAGTCTCCCGGACCAGCCAGCCCTACTGGACTGACCAAACCTGCAGCCCAAACACGTGCCCTTGACCTGGAACCAGACTCCAAACCCTTCGGAGTGAGGGCAGACACTCTCCCTGGGCCACACCAGCCAGAGCCCACCTTGGGCCCACTCATTAACCCGTCTGCTAGGTGAGTCCGACCAGCTGAGGGCCCTGGGCCCGGGACTGGAGCCAGTTTCCCACGGGTCCTTCACACCAAACTGCAGCCCCTTCTCAGCGGCGGCAGCCATCAGTGTGGCCCGAGGCTCCGGGGCGGCCCAGCCTGAGCCCCTGGCCGCCCCTCCCGCCGCCCCCCGCCCCTGCTCCGGGCCTGGCGCAGGAGCACCGCCTCCCCCCGACTCGGACTCGCAGGGCCTTCTCGCTCGGGGGAGGGTTTTAACCTCACACCCGGCCGACCTCTCGTCCTTCCTCCCGCCCCATCCGAGTGGCTGTCAGGAAGGAGGGCCTGAGGCGCAGGGCCTCGCAGAGGTGGCATTCCCAAAGCCGGGCTGGCGGTGCCAACCGGCCATCGGCCACGGTGCAGGCACCAGGGGCACGGGCACCGAAGGGACAGAGCCGGTGTCGCCTGGGCCCGGGCCCTGCCTGGTGACACAGGCCGCCTTCCAGCCGCCCGCTCACTCACCACGGGGAGCCGAGTTCTCAGCCCCAGGCCGCAGATGAACAAGTAGCGCAATCACTGTCCCTGAAGCACCCCCCCACACCACACACACACACATTCTGCACCCTCCAGCCTCCCACCTGCACACAGCGTTCCGTTCTGGGCTTATTCTCCCTAACTTTTTTTTCAATCCTCACCCGAGGATATTTTCCCCCTTGATTTTCAGAGTGGAAGAGAAGGGAAAGGGGTAGGGGGGGAGAAACATGGACATGAGAAAGAGATAGCGATTGGCTGCTTACCGCACGCACACACACCCTGATCTGGGCCAGAGACTGAACCTGCACCCGCGGTGCAGGCCCTTGACTGGGAATCAAACCCGAGACCTTAGGCCAGTGGGCTGGCTCTCACCGCTGAGCCACACTGGCCAGGGCATCCCGCCCGGCTCTGGAAATGAGACTCACTGCTCACGCGATGTGTTTTACCATTCGTGGTGTTTCTGTGGTTCACGCACAGGGAGCGCCCGCGTGTGTGTTTCCACCGCCGTGACACTCCGCCCTGTGGCCACAGCAGATCCCTCTCCCGTGGAGGAGGTGCGAGTCACATCTCAGAGTGTGGCTACCGACTTTCTCACCCGTGGCTTTGGCTGCAGTTCTCCGAGTGTCCCCGAGAAGAATCGCTGGTCCGTGTGTGTGTGTGTGTGTGTGTGTGTGTGTGTGTGTGTGCGCGCGCGCGTGCGCGTGCGCATGTGTGTGTCACACGTGTCCTTTTCCTCATAACGGGATACACAGTCCAATGCATTTCGGTCCGAAAAGCGCCTGGTGGAGATACAGCTCGCCACTCCCGGTTCCCACACCGATTCCCATCTGTGCCTGAATGAGGTCACGCTTAGAAGACACACAGACACTTCTGATCACTGTATGGGTATTTTCACCTTCCCATTTTCCACCCGACAAAGCAGCTGTAAGGATTACACCCAGCAGGGACATTAAGCTCCTGCAGGAACTGCCACCCCTGCAGGAATAAAGGTGGAGACACTCCTGCCTGCGGGCGGGGGGCTCCGCGGCGGGGTGGGTGCGTGCGAGGAGCAGCCATCGGGACTCACAGGCCGCCGGGAGCACCCATACTCACACGGGGCAGGTGGCACGGAGGTCCTGGTGGGGCCGAGGACCACGGGCGGCTCCTCCTTTCACTGGCACGTCTCACAGGGCGCCGTCCTGCACTCTACACCGCTCCCCACCCCCGACCATAGCGACAGGGCCGTGGGCTCCTGCGGGCACCCATCAGAGAGTTCAGTGGGTGCTTCATGAATGTTTGCTTCATGCAGGGCACCTCCATGGTCTCCACCTAGACAGGGTCTCCGCATTAAAATCAGCTCACTCACTGCCCTGGCCCAGCGGTCGGCAAACCACAGCTTGAGAGCCACGTGCGGCTCTCTGACCCCTTGAGTGTGGCTCTTCACAAAATACCACGGCCTAGGCGAGTCTATTTTGAAGAACTGGCGTTAGAAGAAGTTTAAAAAATTTGGCTCTCCAAAGAAATTTCACCCAAAAGACTCCATCAAAAAACTAATTGTCATAATAAATTCAGCAATGTAGCAGGATACAAAATTAACGCCAAGAAATCTATGGCCTTTCTATACACCAATTGTGAACTTACAGAAAGAGAGACTAAAAAAGCAATCCCATTTACCATGGCACCAAAAAAATTAAGATACCTAGGAATAAACTTAACTAAGGAGGTAAAAGACCTATACGCAGAAAACTACAGGACACCGAAAAAAGAGACAGAGGAAGATGTAAACAGATGGAAGAATATACCATGTTCATGGATAGGTAGAATCAACATCATTAAAATGTCCATACTACCCAAAGCAATCTATAGATTCAATGCACTCCCCATTAAAATACCAAAGGCATATTTCACAGACCTAGAAAGAACTCTCCAAAAATTCATCTAACATAAAAAAATACCCCGAATAGCCAGAGCAATCCTGAGAAAGAACAAAGTAGGAGAGATCTCAACACCAGATTTCAAGCTGTATTACAAATCAACTGTTCTCAAAGCATGGTACTGGCACAAGAACAGACATATAGACCAATGGAATAGAATAGAGAATCCAGATATCAACTTAAATCACTATGCTCAATTAATATTTGACAAAGGAGGCATGAACATACAATGGAATAGAATAGAGAATCCAGATATCATCTTAAATCACTATGCTCAATTAATATTTGACAAAGGAGGCATGAACATACAATGGAATAGAATAGAGAGAATCCAGATATCAACTT